TAACAAATGCTGCCATGAACACGTGTGTGCATGTTTCTTGTGGGTAGTTATTTTCTGTTCTCCTACACATATATTTAGCAGCAGATTTGCTGGGTCTAGTGGTCATTCTGTGATTGCCACATGTTGGTGCTGGCATTTTATTCCATCAGACTGACCTGTGGGCATATCTACGGGGGCACTTTCTTGACTGCCAATTGATATGAGAAGGTCAAGACCATTGGGAAACATGCCATCCCTGTGCAGGTGGGCCTGGACTGTATAAGAAATGTAGCTGAGTATGCTAGGGGAAGCAACCAGCAAGCAGCATTCCTGCATGGTCTCTACTTCCATTCTTGCCTCCAAGTTCCTGTCCTGAGCTCCTGCTTCCCTTGATAATGGACTATAACCTATAAGCCAAATAAACCCTTTCCTCCCGCAAGTTGCTGTTGGTTAGAATGTTCTATCACAGCAACAGAAAAGCAAACCAGAACACTAATCTTAACAATGTGTCAGTCAGTGCTATACAGCCTAACTTTGAATGTGGATTCTTGATTTCAACCTCATCTATATTTGAAGTATCAATTAAATATCAGTTCCTCTTATTGAAGCCCATTCTATTTCTTTTTATTTTATTTTATATTTTATGTGTATGAGTGTATTGCCTGCATGTATGTGAGTGCACCTGTGTTGTGCAATCCCGTGGAGGTCAGAAGAGGGCTTTGGACTCCCCTGGAACTGGAGTTAAGGATGGTTTGTAGCTGCCATGTGGGTGCTGGGAATCGAACCCGGGTCCTCTGCAAGAGCAGTCAGTGCTCTTAACTGCTGAGCCATCTCTCCAGCCTCCATTCTATTTCTTAAAATGTGTTTGTTTTAAACACAAAATTAGTATTTAGTGGAATAAAGAGACAATGATTATGAAGAAGATTGAATCCAGCAGTGCCTGCCTGCCTGCCTACAAGCTGTTGTCAAGAGATCAAGATTAAAAAAAAAAACACAGACGGACCCCTAAAGGAGACTGACTTGTCTCCAGGCTGTAGCTGTGCTGAGGAGCTGAGAGGTATTCAATCTGTGTGGTTCAAGTTTATTCAACCTTGGGTCTCTGTGTGGCTAACATCCTCTGCAGATGATGGGAAGCTTTGGGAAACCCCTCTCCATGACAGAATTTCAAGCACAAGGGGTTTGTTACATATATAAGTTGGTGACCAGGAGAGCAAGATTCTGAAAATGCGAAATGGGATGTAGGGATAGAGACCAATTGGTTATTCTGCCTCAAAGGAATCAAAATAGATCTTATCACAGAGCTATCACTCATATGGTAACACCATTATGATGAGAACCCAGCAACCAAACTTCTTCAAAGAAGGAAGATGAATTTAGAGGAGATAAGAGATCTTGACTAACTCCTGCTGAGCTCACCACTGCTGCAAAAGTGGCTCCTTACCCATGAAATTATACCTGTCACAGCGACTTCACTTCATTAAGGTGGCTTCCTGATCCATGGCAGATTACCAGCAATACAGCATCTATGACTCTCTCGCTAATGAGGATCTGCTTTCCTGTGTTCTGACAGTCAAGCTCCGAGCTTTAATAACTGAGAACCAGTCAGAGAGAAGGAAGGATTTATAAAGCAAAACAGCACATCAAGCAAACCTTTATCAAAGTGTCCACTCAGCAATACATTTTTCCAATGATCCTTGAAAAAGGGATAACTCGCTGTACTTTACTACAATCTGAAATAACAGAACAAGGTTTCCTTTATTCTACTTTCAAAAGACAGAAGTAAAATAACAGTTCTTTGGAGGAGATAACAGTTGAAGATGTTAATAAATAGGTGGTATCTGAAAACCTCCCTATTTTCATTTTATAGATTTTACTAAGGAGAAAACACACACAGTGAAAAACCTTAGACCAAATTGTTCACTGCAGAAATTAATTTACTGTCAGGCTCTCCCGGCTCTCTCCTTTAGGAGTCATAGACACCAATCTTCTGAAGAGTCTTCCTGGAACAATGTTTCTCTGATTTTTTTGAGTGAATTTCTTTGAACTACTGAACTGGAGACCACTTGGTATATATACATTTAAATTTGTATCATAATATGTATGTTAACAGATATACCATCTCTGAATTTCATTCAACAGGCAATTATAGGAAGCCTCCTGTGTACCAGACACTGCTTTGAGGCTGAGGACACAGCTGTAAGCAGCACTTGATTTTCATACAAAGGAGCTTTCAATCTATGCTTCCTCACCAAGCTCAGTCTGCTGACCTGTTATGTCAGGTTCTAACATTGTGCATATGTATGCACCACATATAAGATGGTTATTCTTGCAAGCATATCACCAATGTGTTTTATATGCATATATAATACACTCTGTCCATACATGTGTAAAACATATTTTATGCTCTGTTCCACATGTCTATACTTTCCTATCATCTGACCGCATAATATGAACCTGGCAATGGAATCTATGAATGAACCAGGAAGCTTCTCTACATGGGTGGCACTAAGCACCTCAGAGCTACACCTGGGTACTCTATCCAGGGAGTTGTTTCTTAAAGAAGACACTGGTGCCGATGACAGAAAAGGCCTGTCAGTGCCACACATTGGTGTACTTGGAGATGTCTTGGAGGTGTGGCAATCCGAAAGACCCAGATTCTCAGATCCTCAGACAATTTGTTCCATCCTCAGAGAGATCTACTCTTCCCTTCCATGCCGAAGATGAACTCAGCCAATTTTCTTTTGAGACAGGGTCTCCCTGTAGCCCCAGCTGGCCTGGAACTCACTATGTAGAATAGGATAGACTCAATTTCACAGAGATCCACATGCATCTACCACCAGAGTGCTAGGATTAAAGGCATATGCCATTACACCTGTCTCTCAACCAATTTTTAATGAGACATTTAACAGCATATAAACAATCCAAAAATACCTCATGATGGTTCATATCCCTTTGTATTTCATGGACAATAGTACTGCTACTATTAATCACTCATGATTGTCAATGGTAAAGCACAAGAGAAAATGAAAGCATATTGATTGAGACACTTTCCCCCATTTGACCCTCCTCTTCTGGTAGAGATTAAAATTATCCATCCATCCATCCTTCATTTATTCATCCTCCCACTCAATCCACTCATTTATCCATTATCCATTACCTGCTGAGCCAGCTCACCATGGGGCACAGTGAACCAGCCCCAATCCATCATCTACCCACCCACCCATCGATCCATCCATCATCCATCCACCCTTTATCCTTCCATTCAATCATCTATCTATCTGCATCTGCATTAGTTACTTTTCTTATTGCTGTGACCAAATACCTGAAATGAAGCAACTTAAGGAAGGAAGGACTTACTTTGGCTCTCAGCTTAAGAAGATTCTCCATGATAAAGGAGACTGCATGGCAGTAAGAATCTGAGGTGGGTGGTCACATTGCTTCTGCAGTAAGGAAGCAAAGAGCAGACAGGTGGTGAGGCCAGGTAATACAACCTCATGTTCCACCCTTAATGACCACTTCCTCCAGATAGCTTCCACTACTAAAGGTTCCGCAACCTCCCCATCAGCAGGAGACCAAGTGTTTGAACACATAAGTTTGTGGGGGACACGTCACATTCAAAGTACTATACCATCTATCCATCCATCCATCCATCCATCCACCTATCCATCCATCCATCCATCCATCCATTCATCCATCCACCCACCCATCTTAATTTCCATACCCACTCATCAATCTGTCCATTTTAGCATCCATCCACTTATCTGTCCCTCTGTTCTCATGCCTGTCAGCTACGTGATCCAAAGTTGCCTTTTGTGGGGATGGTCCTCATTATCCAAATCCCATCCCTGGTGTGGGCACAATGAACCATGAGCACATGTGGACTCTCCTGTGTAAGATCAAGTTCCCCCATGAAGCACACTCCTGCAAAAACATCCAGGGCAGAACTGAAACACAGGTTTCTTCTTTTTCCTCTCATTTTCCCTATAAGAAAAACAATGCTCAAATACTGGCCCCATGAGGAAGGGCACAGACCAGAACCATGGGTGACCTAGATTCCCTAAAACCAGCATCGAGGGGAAAGGAGTACAGAATGTCATTGAAGTCAAATGTCCCTGGATTGGTTTCAAGTGCTTTTTGGTAATGAACCAAGAAAAGAAAAAAGTAATAGCTACCAACTGAGATTCATCTCCTCTATATTATAATAAATAATGGAAAATAAATGTATTTTTCAAACACTGAGTTATGAAATTTAAAACTGCATTCCAGAAATAATACTCTACCTGCCTGGATCCATCCTTTCATTTTTGCTCACATTTCCAGTAATATAAAGAATAAAAAGAAACTTAAAAGTGACAAAGAAACATATGTGATGAGACTAAGAATTCTCCAGAGCCACAAATGAGGTTCTGGGAGAGAGAAATAAATCAAGAACTCCCGAGTCTCCAAGTTGGTCCTTGCCCAACTGTGAATTGCCTGTTTCTAATTTGGTGGTTATCAGAGGCAGATTCTGGTTTTAATTTCTCCCTAGAGTGATTGACAATTCCGTATAATTCTATAGCAAGCACACACTGTCCCACCACAAAGTCCCCATGAACAGATACAGTCATGCACATCACATTGAAATCTGCACTATAAAAGTGGGCTGTACCCTGTAAAAGAGAGAACTCTTGTGTTTACCACCTGCAGAAATGCCCCCATTTTAAGGGATACCAGACTTTCAGTTTATGTAGTGCTAAGAATTAGAAAAATGTCATGCTGGGTGGAACATCAACTGTAGATAAATACCACTGTGGGGATGACAGAAGTCACTGTGGTTCTATGTAGGTCCACAGTGAACAGTATCCCTCCCACTTCTACCAATCCAAAGATTCCACCCTTACATCTTACTTAGAGACATTAATAACATAGATAACACACACCAAATGTAAATCACTGTGGAGACAGTTGTTAGCAAATCTAGGAGAAATACAAAGCTCCCAGGCTAGCAGATCTGAGCAGAGCAAAGGCCAGGTGGGACTCACCTGCTTTCTGAGCCAGCAGATTTCTTCTGACAGATGATGACAGCTGGTGCGTACTTCCCAGTGTGGTCCATGCTCTGCTTGACATCCCAGATGGAAGGGCTGCTGGCTCTCACCCCAATGATGTTCACCCCTTTCTTAACCTTGGCCCTGTTGGAGACAGGAAGTGTACATCTGAGACAGCTCTGGGGAGTCCCCAGGTCCAGGTCAGCACTGGTGTTAGGAATATGGTGAGCTCATTTGTACATGGTTGTTTTATGGGTGTGAGTTCATGGGGACTAGAATTTAAACACAGATTTGTAACCACCTTCCTATGCATCTGCCCTATTTTCTTTTAAATATTGCTACCTTTACTGAAGGAGCTGATGAAAGTGTAGCTGGCCTTGAGCAAGCATTCGTTATATAAGGAAATAGAAAATCACTGTTCCTTTTATTAAAACGCAACACACAAAAAATTCTACCTGAAAAACACTTATACTGAGAAAACAAAATGGAAAAATGAAGTGAGCTAAAACTATAAAAGCAGCATTTATAACGAGAGTACCTACACCAAGAAGCTGTGCAGTCAGCCATGATGAACAGCAGCTACACCTTCTGATTTTCCCAGCTGTGTCTGAGTTCCATACAGGAGAACCAAGGCTTAGACAGGTAAGGGGATACTGATGGCTCTCAGCATACAGAGGTGCTGTGCTCTTAACAGTTCTATCTAACTTTTATGTTTCCATTCTTTCCATAGCATCATTTTCTTTATCACTATCACCACAACCTTCACCTTCATCATCATCATCATCATCACCACAGCCTCCATCTTCTTCATCACCATTATCATCCAGTCTTCATCACCATCACCATAACCTCTGTGTTTGTCACCATCATCACAGTTTCCATCTTGACCATCAACATGGCAACTTTTATCTTCATCATGATCATCACAACCTCATCTTTATCACCTCACAGTAACCTCCATTTTATCATCATCATCCCATCTTTGACATCAACGACAAAACTTCTGCCTTTATCACCGTTACAACTCCATTTTCATCACCATCAGTACAACCTCCATTTCTATCACCGCATTATAACCTGTCTTCATCATCATCACACCCCTATCTTCATTGCCATCATCAAAACCTCTGTCATCATCAATGCAACTTCTACTTTCATTACCCTCACCGTAGCCTCCATCTTCATTATCCTCATCACCACAACTCCCATCTTCATCATCGTCACCTCCACAAACCCATGTTCATCATCATCACCACAACCTCTTTCCTCTTCCTCCTCCTCCTCCTCCTCTTCCTCCTCCTCCTCCTCCTCCTCCTCTTCCTACTGTATCATGGCTACTCAACATAAATTGAATGCTACTTTAAATTCATTATAGTTCTGTCTCACTTCATTCTCTCAAATGTTCTGTTAGACTAGTTGCCATGAGAAACCTGGTCTCTCTCAAGGCTCCAGAGCAGAGGAAAAGGACTCGCACTGCAAGGTAGGACTAGGTTCTCCTAGCATGGTGAAATTTCTGGAGCTGGAGCTTATAAACTTGATTCCATTCACTTTCTCTGCTGCTTAATCACAATATCTAATATCTAATCATGATTTAGTCAAGAACACATTCATCAAAGCAGTGTGCCTTCCACTCAAGACTCCATTACTCATCTCCTCCCTTACCCACTTCTCTGTCACGGAAAGGAGCCATATAATTCCCACAGACTTTTCTGCCAAGTACCAGCACTTCTGTCCTTTTCATATAACCCAGATGAGGGAGAGAGGCACAGAGAACTGCTTTGCATGCTTGCCCTTGTATTTCTCTAAGAAATTTCAAAGGAGACAGTCTTTCCACCCCCTCTTCTGCAATGGTCCCCGAGCCCTGGGTGGGTAGATTTTAATGTATGAGTCCTGTCCAAAGACCCACACTCTGCAGACTCATGTTCTCTGCATTTTGACCATTTGTGACCTTTTGCCTTCCTGGCCATCTGTTGCATGAGGGAGCTTCATTGTTAAGAATTGAAGGATGAGATCAGTGTAATGGCTTTGATCTCAGCAGACCACCAGAGCGTGCCCAGTTCTGGCCTTCCTCTGGCCTCTCTCTGACAGAGGGGCTAAGAACTCAGGGGACTGCCTGAGAGCCCTGGGATCCTGCCTCCGCATGGTGGTGAGCTTCCCCTAATTGCACCATACCCATCCCCTTACCTGGGTTTTGTGAGGCCCCTCCCAAGGCCCCAGGGCAGATCTGGCTTTGGTAGGCTAAGGCTGAGATTCTAGCAGACAGCCTGAGAGGGTGAGTTCTGACCTCCATGGTGTAGCAGGTCTGAGTTCAGCAGACCACCAGAGAGTGCCCAGTTCTGGCCTTCCTCAGGCCTCTCTCTGACAGAGGGGCTAAGAACTCAGGGGGCTGCGTGAGAGCCCCTGGATTCTGCCTCCAAGGGGTGGTGAGCATCCTCCTAATTGCTCCATACCCATCCCCCTACCTGGGATTTCATGATGACCCTCCCAAGGTCCCAGGGTAGATATGGCTTTGGTAGGCTAAGGCTGATATACTAGCAGACAATCTGAGAGGGTGGACTGTCTGAGAGTGCCCAGATCTTGCTTCTATGTGGTGAAGGAAGCCTAAGTGTACCTGACTGGAACCTGAATTGGACTTCGGTGGGTACTCGTGAAGAGCTGATCTGAAGCCATCAGTTCCCTCCAAATTAAACCTGAGAGAATCTGAACCCTGTACCAACCAGCTTTACATAACCAATAAAGAAAGGATCTAGGCATCCGGATAATACAAACAGAAGCATACTTCAACTTAATTCTCATATCAGAATCATAAACAACAAAAGAAATTCACATACCATGATCACAATGAAAGAATAATAAAATGGAAAGCCAAAATGCTATTTCCCCACAAAACTCCACCAATCCTATAGAAGAGTTCTACAAGGAGAACCCCTAGAGATAAACCAGGACACAGAATTTAAAAGAACAATCATATACATGATCAATGAATTCAACAAATTTAAAGAACGTGAACAAACAAATCAAAGAGCTAAAAGAAGATAGGGATAATCTTTTGAATGAATTCACAAAAGAGAAACATTGAAGAAAACTCTGGCAGAAATGAAGAAGGAAGTGCAAAACTCAATAAGCCAACTTGAAACAAC